CAGGCGGACGCTGTTAGGAACGACACCTCTGTTTCCGACTGTGCGAACACACCACGCGTACCTCTCGAATGCAACGATACACTGCGTCTGGCTGTATTATGGGACTCCTTCGTACACACCACAATTGCCAGAAGATGTCAAGCCAGGCTCTGAGAACCTGCAGTTGTGGCCTTCGAAGAAGGGAGGAAGGGAGGAAACAAGGGGAAGAGGAGGAAGAATGGAGAGGAGGAGGAGGAGGAGGAGGAGGGAGGGAGGAGGAGGAGGAGGAGGAGGGAGGAGGAGGGAGGATAGGGGAGGATGATGAGGATAAGGAGGAGGAGGAGAAGGAGGAGGAGGAGGATATGGAGGAGGAGGAGGAGGAGGGAGGAGGAGGAGATGAATAGATTTCGTCGTCCTGCCGCCGGGACAGCAGAGGGCAGGGCAGGATAGCAGAGGGTGGGATAGCAAAGGGCAGGGTCGGACAGCAAAGGGCACGATAGTAGAGGGTAGGGCAGACAGTCAGCTCACGCAGCTGGTGTTCCCGGCGCCTCCTGGCGCCAGGAGGTGCCGGGAGGCGCCCCTGCATCGGGGAATGGGCCCAGCGGCGGGGCCGGAACCAGCTGCACGCAGCACTTTTTGTACCCCCCCCCCCCTTCCCTTCTTTCCCTGCCCCCTCCTTCCTCCCACCCTTTTCCCCCCCCCCCTCCTTCCCATCCTCCCTCTCCCCCCCATTCCCCCCCCACCCCCTCCCTTCCTGCCTCCCCCGCTGCCGCTCCTCCTCCGAGTGGAGACCGCATGCGTTCGGACCACAACTCGGCCCCGCGGCGGCCGCTCGTGGCGACCTGGGCGCCCCCGGCGCGCTCTCGGCGAGGCCAAGCCTCTGCAAGGCACCCAGGGGCCGGAGGGTCGCCGAGAGCCCGACGGAAGCGTCCGCAGACCTCGAAGCGTTGGAGCCCTGGAAATCGGCACCGACACCAACACAGGGGAGCTGCCTCCACAGGGGGAAAAGGATCCCAGATTTCGGTGTTGGTGGTAACATTTCGATCACCTTGGATGCCAGAATCTGACCACCATCACCGAGATCGGGATCTTCTTCCCTCGGTGGAGGCACACCGCCGAGATAGATAGTGTTGGTGGCAACCGCTAGGCCTGCGAGAAGCTTCGAAACGTCGTTGCCCCTGAGCTTCTGCCCCACTGTTTGGGGCCATACACGCGAGCCTCTGGCGGCCGCTCAGAACAGCTCCGGCGCCCCCCGGGAACCCTCTCGGCGAGAGGCGCGGCCGCTGGAGCGCACCCCGAGGCCGCGAAAAAAAATATAAAATTCGCCGGCCCAACGGGCCAGGGCGTGCTAAGATCTCCGGTAACTGTTTAACAGTATTAACAGTATTTCTAGTTCGCGCGCGCGGGGCGGCCCCTGGGGGTCCCCCGGCGAAAAGTACCCCGACCAACGCCCGACCGCCGCCCGACCGCCGCCCGACCGCCGCCCGACCAAGTCTACTCAGAGATGGTTTTCCTTCTGGGTGCGGCCTCTCAGGCTCCCCAGAGCGCGCTCAGAGTGCCCCAAGAGGCCCCCAAGACTGCCCAAGAGGCCCCCGAGACGCCCAAAGAGCGCTCGAAGACGCCGAAGATGACCCCAAGACGGCCCAAAAGGCCCCCAAGACAGCCCAAGAGGCCTCCAAGACGCCCCAAGAGCCTTCCAAGAGGCCTCCGAAGAGAGCCCCAAGAGGCCAAAATCGTTGATTTTCATTTGTTTTTTCGATGTTTTTTGTGTTCTGGCTTTTTCGGCTTCCGGACGCTCCAAGACGGCCCAAGAGGCCCCCAAGACCGCTCCAAGACGGCCCACGAGGCTCCCAAGACGGCCCCGGAACGGCCCAGGAGGGCCCCCAAGACGGCCCAAGTGCCGCCCAAGACGGACCAAGAGGCCCCAAGACGGGCCCAAGAGGGGCTCAAGAGGGGAACCGAGAACTGAAAAATCGAGCCCTCCGCCCCAGAAGGCGCCCAGGAGGCCCCAAAAAGGCCCCAAGAGGCCCCCAAGAGGCCCCCAAGACGCCCCAAGAGGCGCCCAAGAGGCCCAAAAGAGGCCCCAAGAGGCCCCAAAACGGCCCCCAAGAGGCCCCAAAACTCGGCTAGCCCACACCGGTGCGACAATATGGGCCGGCGGAATGAGCGAAGCGATTAAATAACCGAAAACCTCGAACCCCGAGAACTCGATACAGGAACCCTAAGGAACCCTAAATAAGGAACGAGGCCCTCTTTTCCCATGAGATCAACTTCGATGTCCCATGGAAACCCTAAGGAAAACCCAAGGCAAACCGTAAAACAATCAAGGAACGCCGAGCCCCTCCCCAATGAAAAGGGTTCCTTCTTGAGCGCCCCGACTGTACAGGCCTCCTAGAAAGGGTCCGAGTACATGGGATAAGAGGATGGCGCCGCATCGCCAACGCATTGGCGATGCATCGGCGACGCACCGGCGATGCATCGGCGATGCATCGGCGACGCATCGGCGACGCCGGCGTGGAGAAAATCGAGCTCCACATTGAGCCGCATCGGCGATGCATCGGCGATGCATCGGTGAGGCGGTGCGATCCTCCGGCCCCATCTACTCCGACCCCGTCCGGACGGTCTAGACGTGGGCGCCGATGCTCCTGGCGACCACAGACTTGGGCCGCCCGAGGCCGCTCAGGACGACTCCGGCAACCCTGGAGCCCTCTCGGCAACCGCAGCCGCTGGAGGGCACCCCGAGGCCGCGGACAACCCTCGAGAAGGACCGAAGCCCCGAGAACCCTCGAAGACCTGACGTTGCCCCGCCCGGGCGAAGCCACGCGCAGGCCGGCCGAGCCGCAGGCAGCGATCCCGAGGCGCCCTGGTGCACAGAAGCTGCGCCCAGCTGCCCTTTTCCTCCACTTCCTCCTCCCCGTCGTCCTTCCTCTTCGGGATCTGACCTCTGGGAGTTGTGATTTTTGTCTCTTTTTCGGGGATCCTCTGACCAAGGTCAATCCAGACCCGGGTCAGTCAGGCCTTGCAGAATCCTGCAAGATCCTGCAAGATCCTGCACCCAAACCAGGGTCAATGCGAAGGATCCTGCAAGATTCTGCACCCAAACACGGGGCAGTGCGACCCTGGACCTGCAGGATCCTGCCAGATCGGGCGCTCTGGCTGACCCCCATTTGCATTGACCCCCGTCTCAAGGCTACCAACTTTGGATGCCTCGGATCCGCGGGGGGGACGCCCGAAATGGGTACGGAAAGAATGGGTACAATGCCGAACAACAAATGTTGCCCCAAACCAACAGAGGCCGCTGTTGGGCAGGCGGCCTCCTGTCTCAAATGTGCACAGGCCGCGGCGACACCGACAGCGAGCCCTGATCAAAATAAACAGGAACTGCTGTTGGGCATTGCACCCATTCTTCCCGTACAGTCGGGGCGTTCACCTAAGGGACCCTAAATAAGGAACGAGGCCTCTTTTTCCCATAAATTAAACTTCGATTTCCCGTCGAACACTTAAGGAAAACCTGAGGCAAACCATGAAACAATGAAGGAACACGGAGCCCCTCCCCAACGAAAAGGGTCCCTTCTTCAGGGCCCCGACTGTCCTCACCTCGTCCGTGCCGAGGGGGGGGGCCTTCAGGAACTCCTCGCAGGCGCGGGCCGCCGCCGCCCGGCTGCCGCGCGGCACGGCCGCCAGGCTGGCGAGGGCCTCGCTCGCCTGCCGCCGCCGCGCGCCGTCGCCGCCGCCGCCGCCCGCCGCCGCCCTCCGTCGTGGCCTCGCCTTCGCCGCCGCCGCCCGCCGCCGCCCGCCGTCGTGGCCTTGCCATCGCCGCCGCCGCCCGTCGCCGTGGCCTCATCTTCGCCGCCGCCGCCGCCGTCGTGGCCTTGCCCTCGCCGCCGCCCCCCGGGTTTTCTGGCCCCTGCTCTGCCAGTCTGCGTCTAAACATCGGGGCTCTCGACGCCGCGAAGAGGATGGTGGCCGCGCTGCCATGAATAGTCTCGTTGCGTTGTCGCCTCTGTCGCCGTCGTGGCCTCGCGGTCGCCGTCGTCCGTCGACGTCGTCATTCGTCGCCGACGGCGGCGGCGGTGCCGCCGCCGAGGGCCAGAAACGCACAAGGGAGAAGGGCTCCGCGAAATATTGTCTGGACAAGCCCCAAGGCACATGCAAACAACTCGCCGAACGTCGCGTTTCATGGCTTGAAATGATCACCCGAGAGCATTCGCAATTTGACGGTATGTGGGCCCTCGTTCGAAACATCACGTACATGCCTGGAAGAGTGTCCAACTGATTATACGCAGAGGCGGTTACGAACATAGTATCATGGTCATGCGACCTGACACATCCCCTGGAAAAATGGAGTGACATGGAAGCCCCCGAGAGGCCACGAATCGGTGGTAACTTTCAAGCACTTCAGACACCCCCCAAATGATCACACAACTGAGACCTCGGAAGATCCATCTCGAGAACCTCGTCCAAGATGGCCCACGAAGAATCGAAAGGGCCACGGCGATTCCAAAAAAACGTGCATGGTGCAACCATCCTGGATCTCGGCTGGCATCATGGTAAGACCGGACAACATCGACTCGGAAAATCCGAACGAATCGGCATGCGAGTCACATCGTGCCACAGCAGCGCCGCGCGAGTGTTGGGCCGCATCAGATCTGGGGGGACGAAAGGATACCGATGACGCTGCTCCCTGGACCTCATCAGATGATGATATGATGCTGCCCAACTGCACCGCTGAAAGCCCGATTCGAGGAATCGTAGCGAAAATGTGCACCAAGATCCCGCGGCGTTGTGTGCAGATTCGGGTGGTCGACAAGGACTCGCAACCAGTACGTGCCAACAGAGAGGACACCGAGGACGCTGCTCCCTGGACCTCTTCAGGGGTGCGCTCCGGCCAGGACTCCGAGGCGAACGCCGCCGTGGCGGCGAACGAAGAGCAGCGGCATCGGCATCCTCTCATCCTATGCGGATCGTCGGGGGCCCTGCCCCATCGGCGCCCTGGAACTTTGGACGCCCGAACTTTGTACGGAAGTAAGTGGCACCGAACTCCAGAGCAAGAGTTGTCCTAAAGCAGCAGGCCGCTGATGTGGAGACGACCTTCTGCCTCAAATCCACGACATGTTTTTCCTAATCACAAGCAAGGACGAATGGGTAACCCCGACCTCCGAGCCACGGCATGACAAGAGGCAACGAATGGCGGCCGCCAACTCGCGCGTGCCCGCGTGCAGACTATTCAGATAGGCCTTAAAAGATTCAGAACTCCACCCTCCAGCAGTGCATAGCACGACAGCATGGCTGCGTCGCAGAAGGAGATGGAGGGTCGACTGACGGTGGTCGACGAACCGCTTGCGCCCGCGTGCAGTACAGTCGGGGCGCTGAAGAAGGAACCCTTCTCGTTGGGGAGGGGCTCGGTGTCCCTTGATTGTTTTACAGTTTGCCTCGGGTTTTCCTTCGGTCTTCCCCATGGGACATCGAAGTTAACCTATGGGAAGAAGGGGCCTCGTTCCCTATGTGGGGTTCCTTAGGTCAACGCCTCGACTGGACTCTCCAGCTCCGCAGCGAAACACAAATCAACAGCACCGACAGCGAGCCCTGCTCCGAGAGGACAGGAGCTCACGCCGGCCTCGGTGTGCGCGGCGGAGAGGTGTCCGTCGCCACCGCCTGGGAGCCCGCCTTCGGAGACCCCGGCAGACGGTGGCTATGCAAACCTCTGAGCCCGAATATGCCCAACCCTTTCCCGAGGTCAGCCCTCATCCCAGAACAAGTCAACGCTGTGAGGGCCAGTACCCATCGGTCGGAAGAAGCAGGTAGAAACAGGAAGCAGGAAGGCGTTGGAAGTAGATTGGGCTTCCGCCCGCCCCCTGAAGAGGAGGGAAGAGGGAAAGCCGCTCGTCTCTTGCAGTAGGAAGGCGCTTAAAATAGATTGGAATCTGGGGATCCAAAAATACCTACTTTCAACGACCGATGGGTACGATCATGACGGCTGTTGCAACGAACAACGGCACAAGCATACGCTCTCAGAGGTCCGCGCTGACTTCTTGGGTCGGCGCTGGACGCCCCTCCCTGGCGCGCGCTAGGGACGGCGCCCGAGGCGCCGCGGGGTGCCCCGGTGCCGATCCGAGCAGTTCGCGAGGACCTCCGAAACTGTGTGCTGTGCCTATTTGTTTTTTGTTGGGGGGGTTCGAGCCCATTCCCCGAGCCACTCCAGGTGCTCTGTATGCCCAGCTGTCCTAGACGCCTCGCTTCAGCAGATGCACTGTAGGTTCGAAGGATTTGAGCATGAATTTTCCCCGACGTCGTCTGCATCTAAGCCGCTGTCTTCTCGCATCAGCGTCAGCATCTCAGATGTATCAGTGCCATCTGAAGATGTTACACTGCTGTCACACCATTCGTGGCCTTCATCCTGACATCCAGACGCATCAGGATCTCGACAACACCAGACACATAGAACACTCAAGCAGACAACAATACACATGAATAGCACGACTACAATGAGGAGAAATTGGAACCACCTGCCTCGTTTGCGTTGCAGCTCCTCGAAGGGAATGCACGACTCTGGCGCCTGATCCTCGTCTGTGCGAGGAACTCCAAAGTAACCATGGTGATACTCCATAGAGCCGTATGCGTATCTGCAATGAGAATATGCGGCGCAAGCTTGTGGATCGGTGCAAATGTAAACATCTGAAACATTGGCTGCAGGCGTCGAATAACACACCTGTACTGGGGCGTGTTCGAAGCCGAGCCACGACGGCGGCAACTGCGGAATCAAGTCATACTGGCGCACAACGCGCCACATGGGCGGGAACTCTTCTATAGATAACTTGCTGTAAGCCGATACGAACGCTGAGTTGCCAACGTGTGGCGAAGCAAAAGTCCATACACCAGACACCCGCATAAAACTGCAGCAGCCACGGAATTCGAAAGATGCCAGCGTTGCGAGCGCTGCCCCGAAGGAGTGTCCCGTGAAGGCAACTGCACCGCATTGCAAGTCCTGTAGATGATGGAACAGAGACTCTCGTAGCTCGCCGTACGCAGACGCGAATCCATGGTGAACTTTGCATGATGGGCACCAACTTTTATGAGTGCCGTTTCTTGTATGGATTTGCCACGAAGGCCATGGCGTGAGCCACGCCTCCACGTCAGCTCGGATGTTTTGGATATCGTAAAACGAAGTCCCAGCGAATATTGCAATGCACTCCTTTGCGCTCTGGGGCTCGGCACGTTGACGCTGTATAACAAACCCTCGCGCATGGTAGATAGTACTTGGACCCAGAATGCGGAGACTGCCATTAACTATATTCGCTGATGATGCGTCGCAATCGATGCCACAATCCCACGATGCAATATGATCCGGCGAACACATAGAAATTGCATTCAAATGCATGTAGAACGTAGCTTCCTTCTCACTGAAGGCGGCGCCTGTTGCGCTGGCAAAGAAAAGGTATGCCAGCACAACGAACATCCCCCCGTGTACGATACGGCTTGTCCAGCATCCCTCGCACACACTCGAGCAACTTACAATGTCATGCTTGCGCCAAGATCAGGGGGGCGTAAGACCCGGGTACAGGGGACTCGGACATCCCCGACGAGGTCGTCAAACAAATGACGAGGCCGAGCCTGCATTTTGACGAGGCCTCCCGCTGCAGACATCCCACGAAACTCCTTACTCGTCAAAATCCGAATCGCGGTCGTCAAAAAACGATGGCGAACCCGAGTCCTGGCAAACCCGGGTCTTACGCTCCCACGATAAGAGGTTTGAGCCTCAATGGCTACGGAGTGTGTCATGCCTTGCTTCTTCCTCTACGCGCCGGAACTCTAGGTTTTGATCGTACCGATGCGATGGACTCCCGCCAAGGGTACGGGAAACACCCTGAGGTACGATGCACAGCAACCAACCCAACGTTGCCCAAAACCAAACACAGCCGCACATGAGCATGCCTCTGTCTCGCACGGACCACCTCCGCGGCGACACCGGCAGCGAGCGCTGACCAACACGGGCAGGAACTGCTGTCGGTCTTCACGCCCATGCCTTCCGTATCCGTTCCAATCGACCAATACAGTCGGGGCGTTGACCTAAGGAACCCTAAATAAGGAACGAGGCCCCTTTTTTCCATAAGTTAACCTTCGATTTCCTGTCGGAAACAGAAGGGAAGCCTGAGGCAAGCTGTGAAACACTTAAGGAACGCGGAGCCCCTACCCAACGAAAAGGGTTCCTTCTTCAGGGCCCCGACTGTATCGCTCCACACGTTGCTGGCCTGGCATCCGATCGTGCCGAAGAGCAGGCCTGCTGCGCGCTGCCGCCGCCGCCTCCGCCGTGGTCGTCGCCGCCGCCGCCGCCACTGCCACCACCGTTGTCGCCGCCGCCTTTGCCGAACCTTGTCGTAGTCGTCGTTGCCATCCTCGTCGTGATCGTCGTCGTCGTCGCCGCCGTCGTCGCCGCCGCCGCCGTCGCCGCCAGCGCCGCCGCCGCCGTCGCCGCCACCGTCGTCGAAGGTCGTCGCGGCGGCGGCGACGACGACTGTCGACGAGACTCGACGACGACGACGACGACGACCACGACGACCACGCCGCCGTCGCCGTCGCCGTCGTGCCGATGAGCGCGCCTGCTGCGCGCGGTCTCCGCCCGCCGGTGGCCCCGAGCCGCCCGCGGGCGCGGCGCCCGACGCCCCGAGCCGCGCGGCGTCCAAGGCCCGCGCGGCCGGCGAGGAGAAGCGCCGCCCCGCCGGCAGGCAGCGCCCTCGCCGCGGCCGCCGCAGGCCACCGCAGGCCGCCACCGCCGCCGCCGCCGCCGCCGCCGCCGTCGTCGACGTCGGCGTCGTCGTCGAACGTCGGCGTCGTCGCCGCCGCCGCCGGCGTCCCCAGAAGTTTGGGGCTCCGAAAAAATTGGACCCGCCTATTTGGGCGACGGTCGAACCTGGGACAGAAGAGCACCCCTCAGGAACACGAGACCCTCCGCCGGCCAGAACGCAGGGTGCACAAACAAATTCCACAAACACGGAAAACATGAGGGCATCCTCCCCGAACGGACCTCGATCTTATACCTCGGTCCGGCTGTAGTGTCGCCCTCCAGGGACCCTCGACAGGCCCCCGTCAGCAGTCAGTCAGTGGGCCGTGCATCCTGTGGACGCGCAGGCAAACTAACACTTTAAAAAATTAGGGTCGTGCGCCAAACGCGTCGAGATGATGACGACGCGATGGGATTAGCCATGTACGGATCACAAACTACATGACAACATTGCGAAGACAGTTTCTGCCCATTGTTATCTTGGTCGGCCTCTGCGGCGGTGGTGAGCCCATTTCTTCGGCGAGCTGCCCACAGCACAAACTGAGTGTCCAACTAAATCATGGCCTGGCCGCGCTGCAGCTTTCACGTGCAAAGTTGTTGGTTGATCGCATCGAATTTCAAATGGAGCTTTCGACTCTGCCTGCTCCAAGACACCAACGTTGGTTGCACGATCGATGCGCCCATGATGGTTCGCAAGCATTTGCTCTGGAAACCGTCCAACATATTTCTGTCCGCTTTGAGCAGCCAAAAGGAATCTAATGAATACAAAAACTCCGCCACGACAAAACTTGTATGTGTGCAACTTGCTGTGTTTCCGAATGTACGCTTGAGACCAAACATTTAGCGATCTCTCCGAATATATAATGATTTCGCCGATCCGCCGGGACACCTCATGGCTTCCGCGCCCGTCGCAAAACTAAAGACCTTCCAAATATACAACTTCCCTGACATGTTTGATCGGTTCGCCACTTGGTTGAATCGTACTTTGGCTACAAATGTGGATCTGCACGGTCTTGTCCCAATTCAATGAGTCCATACTTTTGCCCCTCCAACGCTGCTGCGTCCAACATCTCTGCCATCCGTCCAACGGGCCCCGGGAAAGTCAACAAACATTACTGAGGACGAAAAACCGGCCCTAGATCCAGACATGTCTGGGTCGTCGTCCCCCAGATCCAGGCGTTTCCCAGGTCACCCAGCTTCGAGTGTCGCGCCCCGCGATGCGCGACGTGGGATTCTCTTCGCGCCCTCGCGCCCTCGCACCGACCACTTCGACAAGGGCAACCGCTCTGGCCCAGAACGCGACGCGTGAAGCGCAATTTATCTTCGCGCCCCCGCGGGTGATCTTGGTTTTCGCTCGATTTCGGGCCCCTGGACCCACAGAGGTCGATCCAACTCGTGACATGCCGCAGAAAGGTTGGGCCAGAGGCTTTGATTGTGATCTTTCGAAATGCTGCATTCGTTTCGCAAAGTCGGATCCCAGGGAACAGCCTTCACTTCGCACCAAATGTCCGCCGTCTCAGCCCTGCTGATCTCTCGCCCTTCTCAGTATATCCTCCCTGTGCGACGTCTGTTGTGTCCTCGTTATCCTCCTCCTGCTCCACCTTGGTCCCCGTCGTCCTCCTCCTCCTCCTGTGGTCCTCCAACCTGCTTTGCTCCCCCGTCCTCGTCGAGGTCCTCATCCCTCCTCCTCCTCTTCATCCACCTCCGGTCTCTTTTCCTGACCGAAAGGTGCATACGTATCACGACTACGCTTAGACAGCACCTCAGGGCTTCTATTTTCTCGCTCCTCGTCCTCATCTGATCTCAGCCTCCTCCTGCTTCTCCTGACCTCTCTCCCTGCTCAAGAAGATGGAAGCCGTCAAAAATGGGGCCAGGCAAGACTGTTTCGGAGGACCGCGCCGCATCGCCGATGCATCGACGACGTCCGGATAGAAGACCGGGCCCAAAATGGCGCCGCATCGCCGATGCATCGCCTGGAATGGAGGAGGGCGATGAAGGATCAGGGGATCGAGGGTGTCAAGGAGGGTCTGGGAATCATGGCTGGAGGTATGCGCGCGGCCCCCAGGGGGAACCACGGGACGTACTGAACAAAGAAGGAGGGGCCCCATGAGATCCTGGGCAACCCTGGCACCGGCCACGATATCCACCCCCTTCCTGGTCATCAAACCCCTTTTCCACGACACCGACATACGGGAACCCTGAACGAGAGAACGTCGAAAAATCGAGAGACGACAACTATCCACCCCACCGATCCCGACAAGGGACCCAAGATCAACGCACGCAGGCCCTCCTGGCCGAGCCAGGGCCTGACCGCCGACTTACCTAGGAGCGGGAGGGTGGATAATCAACTTGGTTTGGTGTGATCTGGGTACGGCCTGATTTTCATAGTGATGGGGCCAAACGGTCTTACACCATCCATTCCTGGGCGCGTGTCAAGATGTGGGCTTCCGCGGTCTGAATGTTGCGTGTTGTTGTTTGTGTTGGTGCTGGTGTTGTATATGTTGTTGGTAGCGGTGGTGATGCGAATGTTTAATTCTCACTACAAAAAAAAACAATTATTGTTGATCCCCCTCTGGTGACCATTGTGTGTTTTACATAATGGTTTTACCTTGTCCTTATGAATCATGCTCCCCCGGGGCTCGCATCTTATTTTCATTAATGAAAAGCACTAGGTTCAAACTGTGCCCTTGGCCCCCGCATTGCAAACAACAAAAACGGTGCCCGCTCGAGACTTCTTTACAGTTTAGCCGTGACCCCCGCTCCCGCCTGAGAGTTCCTCGCATGTTACTCAGGAGTCGCACTCTCGCGTGGGACTGCCTCGCATGTTCCTCAGGAGTCGCTCTCTCGGCGTTCTGGAGTAGCGCTTTCGCTGGAAACTTGTTTGCGCACTTTACTCAAGAATCGCGCTCTTGCGTTGGGTTCCCCGCAATCTACTCAAGCGCCGCGCTCCCGCCACCCAGGCACCCAGGAATTGCGCTCACGCTTAGGACTCCCTATTGCTGCCCTTCGTGGCCCCGTTGCAGCCCTTCGTGGCCCCCTTCGCTACCCTTTGTGGCCCCGTCGCAGCCCTTCGCGGCCCCCTCGCTGTCCTTCGCGGTCCCGCTGCAGCACTTCGCGGCCCCCTCGCTGCCCTTTGTGGCCTCGTTGCAGCCCTTCCTGGCCCAATAACAGCCTTTCGCGGCCCCGTCGCTGCCACCCGTGGCCCCGTTGCTCCCCTTCGTGGCCCCCATCGCTGCCCTTCGTGGTCAGTTGCAGTCCTTCCTGGCCTCCTCACTGCCCTTCGTGGCACCAAATATGCATGCCCGTCGTGGTCCTGGCTCGTTCGCGCCCGTCGTGGCCCCGTGCACATGCGCTACGCGGCTCTGCCGACGCCCCCATCGCTACCCTTCGTGGTCCCGTTGCCGCCCTTGGCGATCCCGTCATTGCCTCTGCGGCCCAATACACGCATGCCCTTCATGGCCCCCGCTCGTTCGCGCCCACCGTGGCCCCATGCGCGTGCCCTTTCGTAGCCCCGCCGTCGCCCTTTGCGGCCCCCATCGCTGCCTTTCGTGGCCCCGCTGCTGCCCTCAATGGCCTCGTCGTTGCCCTCTGTGGCTCCGCACTATCTGCCCTTCGCGGCCCCCGCTCATTCGCGCCATCGTGGCCCCACACGCATGCCCTTCGTGGCCCCGCTGTCCCCCTTCGTGGGCCCCTTCCTGCCCTTCGTGGCCCCGCTGTCGCCGTCGCCGTCGCCGTCGCCGTCGTCGTCGTCGCCGTCGCCGTCGTCGTTAGTGGTGTTGTTGGTGTTGTTATGATGGTGTAGTTGGTGTTGCTGTTGTGATTCGTGTTGTTGTTGTTGCTGCTGTTGTGTTGCTGTTGGTGGTGTGATGGTGTGGCTGATGCCGTTTTGGTTGTTGTCTTCTCATCCTTTGGAAATAAATACGCGTTGTTGGTCCACCCCCTGGTGGACATTGTCCTTTCCAATGAACGCGCACCTCCCGGGGCTCACACCCTGTTGTTTATCAGGGCCAGTCCTCGTGTTCAAACAGGGCCCCTGGCCCCCGAATCACAACAACAACAACAACGGCTCCCGCCTAATATTGTCTCACAATGTATTCCATAATCGTGCTCTCGCACGCGGCATCCGAGCAACTCATGCACGAATCGCGCTCTCGCGTGGGACCTCCTCCCAATGTGTTCAGACGCCGGGCCCTCGACGCGCAGGATTCACGCTCTCGCTGTGGATTTCCTGACGTTGTATTTGGGAGTCGCACTGTCGCTCGGGACGTCCTCGCGATTCATT